TATTGTAGTGACCTTCACCAACAAACCACTGGAACCGGGGCCCCATCACCGGAACGCGCACCGGAACGGGGCGCACCGCGAGCTGGCCGAGTGCCAATGATCCCACCGGGGCCGCCTCAGATTACAGTACATCTACACGGAAGAGATTCCCTCGGCGCCGTTGCAACAGTTGGGTGACCTCATTTGCCTCGGACACTTGGTCACTTTATTGCTGTTGTCGGACATGGTGGTTAAGCGATGCTTCTCTCCAAGGTTTAGCTATGTCATATGTTTAGCTCAATTTCTGATTCTACCACCCCAAAAAAAATGTGAGGTTGATCTCATCAGACATCATAATTGCTGGTGATATGAGGTTTTATCATGTAATATACTCATTATTGCTGGTTAACAATCATTAACATTCCTATTTTTGTCGTCACCGATCATTCGGTGATGAAACCCTGATGCCAGGAGGTACTAATGTCCTTTCCCAAGTGGGAATGACCGGTCGATCGTATACCATAATATACCAAGCATTACCGGCAACGGAGAGCAGGATTTTTTCAAGTCACAGATCGCAGATCATTGGTTTGCAAGTCCCTTCTTTCTATGCACCGTAACCCCATCACCACCCATTATATCCGAATACATGATCGACTCATTCTACGAACAAAAGGACGTGCTAAGATATGTGGATACACAAGCAATGTTCTTGTTAAAGGGTTGTGCATATCTTAGCACACACACACATGCCAATTATACCATCCACTTTTCTACTTGGAGGATCATGATGATCATCCCACTTAGTACTTGGATAGTTTTCACAGGTATAAACCATTTACAAAGGGGATACCCCTCCCCGAATCGGGGACTTGTTCCGGCTGCAGGAAATCAGTACGGCCTCACAGCTTTGGCCGAAAGCTGCGCGGAGCGACTGTCTTCCATGCTTTCTGCGCAGAATGTGGTGCAAGTGCTACAAGTCCTGGGAAGAAACGAAGGCGCGGCCACGCGCAAATTGATATTTCGCCGGATGCCCTGATATGCGGGAAAGCTATATATCCATTCACAAGTTGGGTTGGAAGGCATTGGGTAGAAAAAAAACCTAATTAGTGAGATGATGTCAGATGACCTGAAAAATGGTTGGTAACTGGGAGGGTTTTGCTATTGAGTTTACCATTTTACAGGGGCTCACTTTTTCTTACCCAGTTTAACTTTTTTGGTAACTGGGTACCATTTTACAGAGTTCCACTTTTGTTTTTTTTTTTCAAGGGGCCCACTTTTTCCAAAGACCAAGGGATCAAGACTAAAACTGTACTTTCCATCCCTTCTATCTTAGTGAACACCGTGACCCACCGCAGGTATGTCAGTCTCGCTTGGACAGATCTTGGAGCAGACCACGGCCAAGGTTTCCAGAGATCCGGAGCTTATGAGAGCCATTGTGAGCCAACTCTGCAAGATTCCAGGTGCCTGACATGTTTCCTGGATGGGTTCTTAAAGGAGAATCGGAAAGCTATGGGTTTTTGACCGTCAATTTGAGGGTCAGTCAAACCTGGCGATAGATGGAACATGGCTAGTGGATTTTCAAGGCCAGTGTGATGACACCGGGTAAACCCAGTGACTTTGCCCGGCCATGGCGTGTGTCGCCGAAAAGTGCTATGCTGTGCCGCAGTGTCCATCCAGGTAGGATGGTGATGTTGCCGAGGGCTGACATGCAAACATGTGTGTGTGTATATATATATAAAATTATATATATACATATTATATAGACATTCCAATGTATTGCCAATATATGATTTCGATATTAATGATACATTGCAATATTTAGAATATATGATTATATACATACATATATACTAATATATATATATATAATATTATGAAATTATATTATAGATTTCACCGCCTGCTATTTATTCTATAGGGCTGGGGCTGTTTTTTTTTTCCCTTGTGGTTGGACACTCGGGGGATGGGTCAAGACCCATTGGAACACCATTGTTTTTACCCTCTGGTTATGACTAACAGTTCGCCATGGTTAAGCCATGGCCCTAATCGAAATAGATGGTTTACCGAACTGAAAAATGGTGGATCTTTCCATGGCTATGTGAAATAACCAGAGGGTATTTTTTAAACAGGTGCTTGAACCATTTCCATCCCGGTGATATGAAATAGCCCCCAAAGCAGGCAATGAAAAGGTCCAATACTCAACCACGGATTTCTGGAACTTTTTGAACATCCGGGACATGGGTCATTAAATGTCCCATTTTGGGAATATTGGACATCACCTTATAGTAGCCATGGCATTGACCATATACCTAATGGTTGGGTGATGTGAAAAATGGGGACATTTAATGACCCATGGGGAAGGCATTCTTTCAACCCCATTCTATGATCACCGTTGCCCTTGCCTGACACAGAGGCGAAGAATCGCCCAACAAATGGGAGCTATCATCATTTAGCTATCATCCTATCATGTTACCATCATATATACATATATACCCATAGGATCCATGTATGGTATATATGGTAACATTTACCATCAATATATCCCAAATGTTAGCATATATACCATACATGGATCCTATGGGATATATATATATACAGTGTATATATATATATATACAGTATATATATATATCTTTACACTATATATGTATACCTCTCCTAACTATCCCAACATCGGCATCCCCAGGTCACGCCGAGGCGCCTCAAAGTGGACGACCATGGCCGCTTTCGTGGTCCCGATGGTCGCGTGCAGATCTTCCACGGCCTCAACGTGGTGCAGAAGAGTTTCCCATGGCATCCCAGCACAGGACGCCACACTACGGAAAGCCACGCCACAACGGAAAGCCACGCCATGGTGTGCCAAGGTATTAACAAATATGGTTAAAAACCCATAGTTTTTATGCTGACACAAAAATAGTGATATGTTTGTTTCTGGATCTTTACATGTTTCTGGTTTCTGGATTTAAAACAAGTATAGTGAAATGTGAACTTTAAATAGATCTTCATAAATGTTGGAGAAAAACATGGTGTTTATCAATGGTCATATATATATAATATAAGAGGTAAATCTTATGAATTTATAGATAAGTCATACCTGAAAGTGGGCCAGCGGGCAAACTCTCCCATACAATCGCCCTTTGCCACGATGCTGGACATTCTCCAGGTGTGGTGAGAAGTTTTTCACCGACTTACCAGCCTGCACTTTGAGGATTATACCATTTTCACCGTATTTTGTACCCATTTTAGTATCTGGTTAATCTGGTATAGCCTGGCTAATAAGTCCTCTGTTTGGTGGTTTCAAACATGTTTTTTTTTTATTTTCCATAATATATGGGATAATCCTTCCCATTGACGAATATTTTTCAGAGGGGTAGGTATACCACCAACCAGCTGGATTTCATCCCTTCGATCTTACATCAGGATGCAAAAAAATAAAACGAATCCTTCACCGCGGCCAGGACCGGTAGGATTTATGATTGGATTCTGAGACTTCAATTGGCTCCATCCAAAATCCTGGTGGTTTTGTTTGGTAAACCATAGGAAAACCATAGGAAAATGGTGATTTAATGGGGTTTTATGGTGGTTTGATGGGATTTAATTGGTTCATACCCTCTGGTAAACGTTTACAGAAAACTATGGAAAATCACCGTTTTTAATGGGAAAACTCACTATTTCTATGGCTATTTTCAATAGCAAACTGTTAAATTACCAGAGGGTATGTCAGTTGCAAACTGCAGATGATTTTTGGTCATATCATGTCATATCTATATTTTCGTTGCGTGATTTCCGCTTCAAGATGAGGAACACACACACACATATATATATAGGGAGAATCGGAACCTGATGTTGTTTACGAAACGAAACCACCAACCTGTCCACGTACGTTTGGTTTACGATCAAAGTCCTGACTGAAGGAGCCTTTGACCCGTTCAGTTCCCTGAATGCAGAGGACTGGGTGCCATGGCATCTGCAAAAACCATGGCTTAATGGCCTTGAAATGGCAGAGGCCATGTATCCGGACTTCAAGAGTCGAATGTGCCAGACATCATTCGGAATTCTCTATCTCTGGAATCTATCATAGATGGGATGTTTCAGAAATAAGATGAGACATCGAAATATCGGATTTCTGATATCTCTATCTTTCTCCCAGAATCTATCATAGTCAATCTCGATTTCTTTAAGATTTTCTCATGGGATGTTTCAGAAATGGGTATGGATCAATACCTATTAATACCATTTTTAGTGGGATGAACATCCATTTACCAGCTATTTTGATGTTCACCAGGGGTACAAGGTTTTGACACACTGCCAAATAAGATCAGTCGGAAGGATATGGCCAATCTCCAGTCCTGGGGCTTCAACGCGATCCGGCCTGACTCCCAGAGCTAGTGAAGCAGATGGTGCTCCAAGAGATTCAAAGAATCTGGTGATTTTCCATGGGGGTTTACCATAAAACTATGGGATTTTCATGGAAAAAATGGGAGTTCGGTTATCTCAAAAATCAGTGGGTGCTGTACTTTGGACATCTTTGGACACTGGACATGCTGGTAGCTTGTGAACAAAAGCACTCTGACTCCAGGAAATGAAGGAACTAAAATCTAGGTTTCGATCGATTTTATATGGAAAAACCTTTCAACGGTCAAACTATGGTGGATGGGCCAGCGAAATCCGAATCACCAGTTGATAGATGGTTTATGCCATTATTTATATATAGGGTTTCAACATGTTTCAACCATCCTTTTGGTGGTTTATCGGATTTCGCTGGCCCATCCACAGTCAGAAGCCCAAAGCCTGTTCAGGCTCGGAGTGATGTGGCCTGGTGTGGAGCCGGTTGAGGGCCAATACAATCACACCTACCTGCAGGTGCCGCTAGCAGCTAAGCATGAGCCTCTTATCCGTACCCTGAGGATCCCTGAGGTACATGTTAAGGGATGATCCCCAAAAAAGTAGGTCTGAAGTGGTTATGGCATGCTATAGTCTTATTATATAATGTATATTTACTGGTTATTTTTACTGTCACTTGTTGGTATGTAAAATAGTTACCCTCTGGTTATTTAACAGTTCGCCATGGAAGCCATGGCCCATAGAAATATATAATTTTCCCAGCTATAAACCTCCATTTATTTTCGGGATTTTAACCATGGCTATGTCAGTCATAATAACCAGATGGTACCATAAACCATATATGGTAATATCAATCCATGAATTTTTTTTATAGATATATCATGATATAGATTAATTCATGAATACTATAGACTATAGACTATATAATACTATAGATATATAGGTATATATATTATATATATATAGCTACCAGCACAATGTAAGATCAGATCTCAAATAAAACGACGATCCCATGGGGATCTGACCTGACCTTCACGTGATCGGCAAGGTGGTTCGACAGCTGGTGGATGACTTGTACAGCCATGGCATTTGGACCATCGTAGACTTCCATCAGGTGGGGGGATGGAAGATGATGGAAGATGGAAACTCAATAAAACCCTCTGGTGATGTCAAAATAGTTATTGAATGCTATTGAACATTGCCATTTATGGTTGATTTACCTATTAATAATGGATATAATGGTGATTTTCCAGTTCGTTATGTAAACGTTTACCAGAGGGTAGCCACGAAATTTTGAGGTTCCAATATCTTCCAATGGTTTCTAAGCGGGAGCCATTTATTGGAAATTCTTCCATGTTGAATTGAAGTGCTTCAAATTCATGTTGTTTTCCAGGCCAGAATGATGCGATGGCATATATATATATATCATGGCCAACAAACTGGATATCCTTCAGAAACCTGAGGATATCACCCCCCTTTTTCCTTGGGGCTCAACAACAAATTGGGTAAGAAACCGCCATGGTTGGGGTGACCCGCAACGGGTTTTTTTCCACGCAGCGGGAACGTGGTGGTTGGGATTTCCGGCGGGAACATCCTCCACACCTCCACAAGTTGGGAAATTGTCACAACTATGGTTATATAACCCACTCATTAGTCAGTTTCGCTCGAGTTGTCTTAGTGAACGGGGTGGGTCTTTCAAGAGCCTACTCAGACTGCTACGTAGATGATTTTCTTATGGTAAATACGATTTTTCCAGCCGGTGGTTCCCTTTTTCCAAAATGCTTGGTTCAGCTGGAAACTTCTCACATGTGGCACAACCTAAGTTTTGGAGGCAAACAGCAACTAAGTCATAGCATTTTACAGCTCTAATCCGACTACATTCTGAGTTGCCTCTTTTTTTTTCACAGTTTTAACGAGCACCCTTTTTTCGATCACATTATCGTTATTTCTTAATGAAGAACCAACCGATATTTTCGTAGTCCACGAAAAACATGTGAGAGAAAAGCCCTTTGTGCCCTACAGCTCCAAAGACCTCGCTCCGCAGGATGCTTTTACCGAACGTTTCTGCGGAGAAGGGGTGCCAGACTGGCTTTTGCCGCGCCTTGCCAAGATGACGAGATTTCATGTACTTCGTATCTATATTAACCATATCTATAGCTGTATGATTGTATATATATATACATACATACAGTTACATATATATATATATGTATTATACATGTATGAGTATGCACTTATGTATATAATAATATAATATGTATGTATATTTAAGTATACATAGATGTATACATATAATTGTATACACATACATGCGTACATATGTATATGTACATAGTGATATGCACGTAGTTGCATAGGTACACTTTTCATCAACTTCCCTTGATGATAAAGTGGTTGTTTGCTGGCGTGTCTTGGAGATTCTATTACCACATGCAAGTGGTTTACCATGAGTTGCTGTGCTTAGTTGTTGCTGACCATGGGATACACACATTTTGTGGACCATACAGCAATTCAATATGTCCCCAGACGAATTTCGCTCGGCCTTGGGTTTGGTTGTGGACGACACCTTTGGTCCAAATGGTGAAACAACATTTTCCCTCCTTCCTCTGCCCTATTTTTTGCTTGCTTTTTCACCCAGTAGGTACGGTGATATTGGTCAATTTACACCTTTTAGATGGGTTCGGAAAGCTACAAGTCAAGTCACCCCTCACTTGCTCCATGTGTGGTTTTTTCTTACCATGTGGGAGATTTTTAAAGCCGGTTTTTATAAAGTCACCTGGGCACCGCTCATCCCATCCGTTTTCGCAGATTTTGCCCCAGGAAGTTGGAACCCATCCAGAGGACTTGCTCTGGCTGGTTGCCCGAGGTGGACACGGAGAAAATCGATGTGTGATCCGAGCGTTTTTGGAATGTCCCATCACAGTAGCAATTCTGAATTACTGGAGGTGAAATCATCTAAAACCTGTGTATACATATAATAATCAATTATAATCATATATATACATTATATGATATGTATATATATATATATGATATAATGATCGCTGGTGTATACAGAAACAAAACGGTATCCGCAGCAATCCGGAGATTCATTGCATTCTTGTTAATTGTTACTGGATTATAGGTAGTAGTCCATAATATTACCCATATAATTGTATTACTTGTAATATAGCAATTGTTGCAGGTAAATAAATTATGATTATGGGTAATATGATTACATAAGTAACCCGATGGTATTATTGTTACTGGTAATGTGTTACATTTAATGATTATTAGTAGTAATAACTAGTCATAAGCATTGAAAAAAACAATACAGATGGATGTATTGTTACAACCCAGCAAATTGCGCTATAATCATTAGATTCTGGTTACACCCTCTGGTAAACTAACATAGTAACATAGCTATGGAAAATCACTATATTTTAATGGGAAGATCATCTATCAATGGGCCATGTTCAATGGCTATGTAAACGTTTATCAGAGGATGCAGTGTCAGCATCTCATATCTCCCTCGGAACTTACCCTCTGGTAAACTAACATAACTACGGAAAATCACCATTTTTAATGGGAAAACTCACTATAAATGGCCATTTTCAATAACTATGTTAGTTTACCAGAGGGTACACAGCATCTGACACGTTTTTCCGCGCAACGCGCTCTACGTGTCAGGTGGCGAAAATCTTTGGGCAGTGCAAGTCCTTTGCTGATCTGAATTACAGCACCGATCCGAAGACAGGCCGGGATGCATCAGCTCGAACTGGAAGCCATGGCAGAAATAGATGGTTTACCGGACTTAAACATGTTGTGTTTTTCTATAGCTAGGTTAAATTACTCTAGAGGGTAATTATTCTATGGGGTTATACTATTCAATATATCGTAGATGATCAAAATCCATTATGAAGGAATCCTGTTAACCAGCCACAATAAAGGGACGACATTGCGGGTTTTGAACACTGCTCATGTGTTTGTCAGTCTTTGGCTTTATAAAAAGTTGCAATTACAGGACATGTTAAATATCACAAGAGTGCATTGAAACCAATAGGCGCTCGAATTGGCGAAAGAAGTTGAAATGACCAGTTGGCATCTGCCCTGTGCCACGGTGGCAGGTTTCCCCAACACAAGTGACTGCCTGAGCATTGGTTTTGATCAATATTCAAGGATCCGCGGGAAACGTCGCTGTTTTGGTGTTCGGAATCGATTTTTTTTACCAAAAGCTTGGCTAAGTTGGTGTAAATAGTTGAACTATGTTGAACTAGGGTTTAGGGTGATTATACCTATAGTTGATTGATGGTATAATCATTTTTGTTTTCCTAGTGTCGACCTTGGTTTATTTTCTGTCGACCTTGGTTTATTTTCGGTAGATTCGCCAAGCCTTTGAAGTGTTTCCATTTGGTTGCACCTCGATGGTGTCGCTGAGCTTTCCATTCTGGCTGGTCACGAGCCGGAAAAACACACAACTCATTGGGGTACTCTCAACCATAGAAAAGTAAATTGTCAAATCAATTTCTGGGGATTACATCGTTTTATGACCCTGGAAGCCAAGAGAGAGGGGTCTTCGTTGCATTTCAGCGGCCACGAACTATGATTGGTTGATCTCCATCTCCAGTTGAGTTGTTAGGCGTCCACTCAGCTAGTTTCGTGACTTCAAATGCCATAGCCTGCCGTCATCAAACGTGGCAATGGGACATCCTTTATAGTAAATGAAGGCTTCTGGGAAAGTCATCTGTAGAATGGAGGATTTTCCAGCAAGCCATGTTCCATTCTAGGCAAATGTAAACTTTGTGTATTGACTTATTAGTAACATTCCGAATTACATCCCCACGACATTCCCATTTTATGCTTGTTGAATCGCCTGTCTAAACTTTATTATCTGGTTGGTGGTTTCAATCATGACTTTTATTTTCCATTTCATATACGGGATGCCATCCTTCCCATTGACGAACTCATATTTTTTAAGATGGTTATTGCACCACCAACCAGTTATGATTTTTGGATTAACCATTATTAACCATTATTAACCATTATTAACCATTATTATTAACCACTATTAACCATTATTAACCATTATTAACCATTTTTAACCATTATTAACCATTATTAACCATTATTAACCATTATCAACCATGGGAATCACCATTAAACCCCATTAAACCCCATTAAATCACCATGGTTCATTGTTAAATCACGACATTTGGACCGCGGGAAACGAATTTTTCTGACTGGAGGACACCAGAAGTTGTGACCTCGTGGGGACATTTCTTCTCTTATGTGACTTGGTTTTTTGGGGAAACGTGTGAAGCAACTTTTTGGGATTTCATGGGGTTGAATGGTCGATGGATGGTTGGTGGTTGGTGCTTTGGAACATGAATGGATTATGACTTTCCTTCCATATATATATATATGTATATATATATATATATTATATATATATATTGGGAAGAGTAACCCCAACTGACGAAGTCCATCATTTTTCAGAGGGGTAGGGCTCAAGCACCAACCAGTTTTTCTGGGATTTACTGGGATATCTCTTGGATTTTCTCCGGGGGTTGATGGTTGATGGATGTTGATGGTTGAGACGATCGACTTCATGGGATTTTTTCCTCTTGGTTGATGTTGGACAAGGGCAAATGTTGCTAACTATGCCAGCACCATGGTGAGCTAATATGGGTGATGATCATTGATGGTTGTTCTGGGAGCCACAGCAACATAGTCCATTGCCTGAGACGGCAATGACACTCCCGCGATCCAAGCTGGCGGAAATCCCTAGCGATGGGAAATCGTCCATGGTTGAACCTTTATTGCCAATTTTGATTCTCAGAAGGCAGTGCAACTTTCATCTACCAACAGAACATTGCGGGGTTAATCAACAACAAGTGAGTGGGTTTACAATGATAGATATCGCCTGTCCAAACAGCTCTTGGAACCACCCAAACTTGTGCACGATCATGCCGCTATCCTCATCTTATTAGTTGTGTCTCACCATACCTGGCAAATGTTTACTATGTTTGCTAATCTGTTGGTGAAATTCCGATCGCTCAAATCCAACATGTTTTTTATGACATCTCCATTCTTGGAGGATTTTTCACATGATGAAACATCCACCATTTCCCATCCCGTAGAACTGCTACTAGTGCATACTAGTGCTATGTTTTTGTGATTTCCAGGAGTTGTTTTTGTCTCCCATTGCGAAACCACCAAAAAACGCGAATCGCTCGCTTCGCTCCTCAGCTCCCGGAGGAGTCGATCCAGCAGAAATTCCACGGCTTTTGGAGGGTCGTGGCATCGGCGTTGAAAGATTCTGCAGGTGTTCTGGGCTATGACCTGGTGAATGCTCCTCGTCTGAAGGGCCCGGCCCTTTGGGGTGGGAGAATCTGGGGATGTTTTTTGCTCCAAAAGACGTGGAGGCTGTGGTCATCTGTGGTCATTTTTGCCATTTTCGGATCTGTATTTCCAGAATTTTTGTGATGTTCAATCCTGTTTTAGTTGCGCTTAAATCCCAAGTTTCCCCATCTGTCCTTTTTTTAAAGCATTGGTTTCCAACAGGAAATGAGTTTCAACCAAGATAAACTATACATCTCTATATACGTGTTGCTTGGTTTTTTATCACTTCAAAATCCCACTTAGGGGTTTTTGTCCCTCGCAACTTGGTTTTTCAACCACGGGACGCAGCCAGCAGTGCAGGAGCCCTTGAACGGTGACTATTTCCATGAGGTGGATCTCTTAAAACCAGGTCTGGCAGATCGAACTTTGCTGCAACCGCTTTATGTACGGAGACTCAGTGGGGGAACGGTTCCGACGAGGTCGACGATCCATGGGTATCCATGGGTATAGCTCGATGGTTATTTTTGTATAGCAACAAGATTGAACATGATTGAAGATTATTGAAGTACATTGTTATTATTATTATTATCATCCCAACTGACGAACTCATATTTTTCAGAGGGGTAGGTATACCACCGACCAGTTATTATTATTGAAGTAAATTGAAACTTGTTTTATCTTTTATCTTAAGCTTAATATGTAGTTGGGATGGATGGTGACTGGTGAGCGGCCGTTTTGAGGAAAAAACCAACCATAGTGGTGATAATAGTGAGGATATGATATAGTAGTCGGATTATATATATATGTATATATCACCCCCTAAAGATAGATAGAAGTAGCTTCCTTTGGTCAAAATTAGTGGTAAATTGTTTTTTTTTCTGAACTATATGTAGGATATTTGCACATATATGTTAATCGACAACGAACGGGGCTTAACTAATCACCAGTACCCCTCAGCGTGACCCAGAGTTTGGAAGGGAGGGACGGTGAACGGTTACTTTTGATGAATAGGAATCAGTATGACGCTTATGGGGAAGGATCGGAAACGGCAGGAATAGAACAGGTATGATTTAAGCATTAATGGTTTTGAGCAGAGGAATAAGTAGAGATGGGTAGAAATGAGTAGTATTAATGGTTAGAGAGGGTAATAGCATGGAAATCAGACCCCCACATTTGAAATTGGGGAGGTGAACGGTGTTTTTGGTTTCCTGGACTATTATGGAAGAAAAAACCATTGAATATCATCATGGAATTTGGTCCAAATGGAGAACCGAGCATGTGTCGAGCCAAGGTGTGCATGGTTTTATTATAATTTATTATACGGTTTGATATCTTGGGATATCTTTAGTACATAGTGGGGCCACCACTATGTACCCCTTATATACCCTTGTATACGTCGTTATATATTCCCATTAAATCCAAGAACTTTGTTAGGTTAAATCATCATTTTGGTTGATGAAAAATTGCTATGCCATTATGTTTCCATTCGTTACATGTTCATGATATTTGCATTACCCTCTGGTTATTTAACATAGCCATGGAAAATGGCCCATTTATAGATGGTTTTCCCATTAAACATGGTGATTTTCCATACTTATGTTAGTTTACCAGAGGGTAAATCCCGTAAATCGACCATTTTCGTCCTCAGTAAAAACCCAAAGATGAAGCTCAGACCGAGGCCAGCGTTGGCCAAGTGATTCATGCGGAGGACCCAGGAGCCATCCTGATGTACGAGCCGGTGCCCGTGCCAGCTCCGTGGCGGAATTAATTGATCCAGTTGTAAGATATAGACAGATCGATAATGATATATATATAAATATAAGAGCAAAGCATTTTTTAATTGAAGACAACATGTTAAACATGTTATATATCAATATCCAGTCTTTCTTCACAGATAAATATTCATAGTTTCTTTGATCTTTTTGTTGTGCCATTGTGAACTCACCACCGGCCAAGCCTCACCCTGGTGAATCATTTTCCCACTGGGATTTTTTGGAGAAATCTCCAACATTCTCCAAATCATTGAAGTAAATGGAGGATTTTCCGGGAAGCCACGGATGACTAAAGGGTATCATAAGTTCATCAGTTCAAACGAGTATACCATCAGCCAAATTCACATAGACCCTGCAGAAACAGGCGTTTTGAACATTACTTTCCACTCAGAAAAATGGCAATTTCCAAGGTCTATGTGAATTTACTGGAGGGTATGTACCCTCTGGTAAACAAACATGGCTATTGAAAATGGCCATTTATAGCTGATTTACCCATTAAAAATTGTGATTTTCCATAGTTATGTTGGTTTACCAAAGGGTATCCGAAGAAGTTAGTTCTTTTCCTTGGGTATCCCTAAAGAATTCTCACTTCGATTTGATAAGTTGATCGCCCTGCGAGGGGGGTTTTCATAGCTATTTTCACGATATCCCATGAAAATATCCCATCCAAAAAGATGTGGTTATACTAAACATATACCAATTTGGTTAAATACCAATGGATATAGTGGAGATATCCCATGAAAATATCCCTCCATGTGTTTAAACATATACCAATGGAGGCTCGAAAAAGGGATATCTCCACTTCAATCTCCACGAAACGTCCTTTCCACTTCAACACTTTTTCCACTTGAAGTCACGCCCAGGACACACTGCCAGCCTATCTGCCTTTGGCCGGCGGAGTACGCCCTGTTGGCTTCACTCGTGGCCCCAGCAGCAACAGCACGCAGGCGACGATTCGATGGGTCCCTGGTGACCCCCAGTAGCCCTGGTGAACCACATCAAAATCACTGGGATTTATGGATGTTCATTATTCATTCCCCTAAAAATGGTATAGATAGATAGATAGGATAGGATAGGATAAGATAAGATAATATCAGATCAGATTAGATTAGACAGACAGAGAGACAGACAGACAGATAGATAGATGGATAGATCATTGTCCCAGCTATCAACCTTCATTTATAGAGGATTCTCCAGCCACGTTTGATTTCCAGAGGGTAGCTCGAAATTGGAGGGGCAATAAAGCATAGATCTTGGTTATCCTTTTCGTAGTAAACTGGGTCAACCTTGGTTAGATACTTTGGTACTTTAATCGTTTGCTATCAATGGTAAAAATGCACTAACCAGCCAAACATTACTTTTTTTTGGGAGTATCTAAGATTCGATTCACCACGTTTTGAGGTCTTCCCTGGGTTGTGACCTAGCACTACTCAGAAGGATCCGCCAACTGGGAAGCTGTTAACAACTGCAACCAGCAGGGTCCTGTAGCGTCGGTGTTTCAGGGGAACATGTGGAGCCCTCATATTTGGAGGTTTTTGAAGTCATCCAGTCGTCATTTTAATGACCATGACTTAGTATTAAAACCCATGGTTTTACACCACAAAACACCATTTTTGGTGGTTTTACACCACAAAACCCCCCCATTTTTGGTGGTTTTACGCCACAAAAAAACACCGGTTTTTTGAGTTTCCGGGTCCAAGTTTCCCAGCAAGGCCTTGTCCTACCATATCTACTCTTGTGGCTTTGCGACAAACAAGTGCAACCGGAGCCATGGACGAAAAATTCGGGGAGAGATCTCCATCCATGCTATCTGATAGAGGACGAGGGTTAGATATGTAATATTATGTATATTTGTATATGATTGTATATGTCTATGATTGGAGGGTTAGATTTATGTACATGTATATGTTTGTCTGTATATGTATATTAAGTGTATATATGTACATGATTGTATGTGTAATTATATCATAGAAGCGGCTAAAAAAAAGGGTGAAATGATGTGACATCGATCCCCGGGTGAAAGGTATCGGATCTATATGATGGTGCTCCAAGTGGTATTAGCTGGTGCTTACCCTCTGGTTATGTCAAACATAGTTGTTGAACATAGCCATTGAAATAGTGGATTTACCCAGCTAGAAAATGGTGATTTTCCATAGTTTTTTGTATGTTTACCAGAGGGTAAGTGATGCAAACACCTGAGGACTTTTTTTTTACTTGCAAACCCTAGGGGTTTTACCAACCCGGGAACAGAAACTGATTTTTTTTAAAAATCAATTAGGGGAAGACTGGGGTTGGTGGTTCTGATTGGATTTCTGTCATGACAAATTGTTTGTGGGAAGATCGGGGGTTCAAAGTGAAAAAGCGAAACGCTTCTGGGATCGGTTTGAAGCCACCATCCATCTGAGATGACGGAACCTGAATTTGAATCCACGGCTAAATTGCAAGCAGTAGCTGTCGAAGTTTCCTTGCATATGCGTGTGTCTGAACATGTCAGATCTACTCTCCTTTTGTTTTTGTCTGTTTACCATCTAATAAGATAGAGAAAACGTCATTCACCAGTGGATTTCGAGGTATATCTGCCCTATTTTCAGACAGTCTGCCACAGAACTTAGATGGGTCATGGAGTTAGTTAACCAGTTCGTAAATGGATTATATATCATTGTTTTCATTTTTTTTGTGGTTTAGCCAGTTACGAACCAGGAAAATCGCGGTTTTCCCATGACCCCTAGGAAGGGCGACCTTCCCTCCGAAGACTGTCCCATTTGTGATGAAATGGCCTCATCTGCTGTCGACACTTGGCTGGGGGCTCCGTTGAACTTGAGTATGGCATGTTTATCTGCACTGGGATATTTTTAAGGTAAATTTTGGTACATATTCCATACTTCCATACATAGAGCATATGGAATCCCCCAAAAAATGCCTCAGAATGGGATGATGATCTTCATTGCGTGATATTTTCGGGGGTGGCTCAACCACCAAGGCTCGCCCCTGACAATCTACATCCACCATGAACATTAGCCATTGGCTTACTGGGGCCCCTATTGGTTAAAACCAACCGCCCAATTTAACAGTTCAAAAATCAAATTTGGTTGATGACTACAGTCATACATATATATATATACATACATATATATTATGTATGTATATATTACATTCCATTGCATTGCATTACATTACATTATATGTACACATATTCATATTGTATACAATATGTATGTTAATCAACGTAGTACATACAAACACACACATGCACAGACACAGACACACACGCACAGACACAGACACACACACACACACACGCACACTACATTCCCCATCATCACATGTGCCATGGTCAAAACATGGATTGGCGTAAGGCGACGAGAGAGGCCGACGCACGGCGCTTGGGTGGTGGTGCTTTCATGACGGAGCCGCTTGATGTTTGCTTGATGTTTGGAACGCCGGTAGGGATAACACATATCAACAAGTCATGGAAAAAATCCAACTGATGTGGGAAATCTGATTATAAACTGCTTGGTGGTTTGGAACATGAATTTCATTTTTCCATATATTGGGAATGTCATAATCCCAACTGACTCACTCATATTTTTCAGAGTGGTAGGTATACCACCAACCAGATAAACCATTGTGATTTCTTCCAAACAACTCAGGACAAATGGTTGTGTCACTCGGTTTCTCACCTTTCACCCACTGCGTTTTACATCCCCAACTGATACAGGAACATAGTCTTCGAGATATTCTCCGACATGTTGGGCGGTTAAACACCAATTGCCATTGGTAAACCCTCTATCATTATCTAAAATTTTGTTTTTTGAACCATAAAAATACAGCCTTATCCCAGGCCATTTGGCATGGTTGATGTGACCATGATGTGAGGGGGTCGCATCGACTTCCCTTCTTAGGAATCATGTTGCCCCCAAAAAGTTGATGTGACTAAAGGCCTTCACTGTAGTAACCCCACAAAGATAGAAAAGTATAGAACAATAATTCATCACTATTTTTGTAGGATTGTCCTGTCCTATTGTATCTTTTTGGGGGTTGCTATGAAAAATCCCGAACTTGTATCCATTTTTGGTGAACTTCGCCAGATGCTCACGCCCAAACGTTCCGCCAATGTCTTTCGCAGGAGTTTGGCGCGTGCTCAGGGACTCCCATTTGCCTCTCCGAGATAAAACGCATCACAGTCACATGGCCGGTGAAGCAAACCTTGAGTGGTTTTTCATGCTAAGAGGTTCAAAACATATGGTAAAAAAGTATGATATCAGATTTGGAGAGATTTGGGGGTATGAACATCTACCAACTATTTCATCTATTTCGGGGTGAACCCCAGAGTACCCGGATTTTGATCCTTGCTATGATCATCGATATATTTATTGCAATTTGAATGGGAGATGATGGAAAATCAGCTAACCGAAGATTTCTGATGTTCATGGACTTTCCTGCTTTTGTTGCGATTTTACCATATTTTACCAATCAATCAAAGTGGCTGGTTTTGATGGCCTTTTTTGGGTTTCCCCAGACTGGGTGAATCGAGGCTGAAAAACATCGGTGGAATCAGTGAATCATCGTATATGATTTGAAACGAACGTCTTCAGTTTCAAACATGTTACTTGAGAAAATATCAGAAAACATCGGCAGTTTATGCTAAAAGATAAGCTAAAATAATACCGCCACTTCGTGAAAAAGGGACATGCCGGATCCGCGGTTCGATGTTTTTCGTTTTTTCGAGGATCGGGCCGATCGCGCTCTCCACTCCTGGGCCTACTGGCAGTTCAAGTACAGTCATGACCGCTTTTTTCCGAAGTTCTACGGGCTGATCCTTGATGTTTTTAACCAATGGGATGTGTATTAATATGTCACATTCATAAACATTTAATAAACATTAATAATCATTAACAACACATTTTGTTTAAACATGAATAACACATAAATAACTTTTAACACACATGAACAAACATGTTTGTCACTTGTTAAGATTTATTAAACACTTCACTTAACACACATTAATAAACATTAATAAGTCGTTTCACCAATGGGATGATGTTGGATCAAACCTGACCATCTTTATTTTTGAGGATGATTAGCAGGATCATCACGCTGTGTATTTTTTTCTGTGTCAATAGCAGGATATTGATCGTTTTTGGTCAGTTCTTGACATGAAAATATCATGAATTTCACATGGGGATTGGTCGCAAACATGTAACGAATCCGACACGATATGGTAAACTTCCTTAAATCCCATTTGCTAGATAAATGGTACATTTACCTGCAACACTGAGATATTTTGAAGATGGTAAATCTTCCACTTTAGCTGGAAATGATACCGTGATACCAGGTTTTTTGGGGATGAACATCCATTGGCCCATCTTTTTCCAGCTTTTTCAAGGCCAAAATCCAGGCACCTTCCAGGGTCGCCAGGGTCCCTGCCAGGACATTACCACCGTCGCGGGACCGGAGGAAGGTTTCTACAACCTCGATGGATCCCTGCAAGAAAGCAAGGTAAAGGCGTTGTCACGGACCTATGCGGCTTGGCAGATGCGGGTTTTTGATGGTTTTTGGGAGTGGTAGATAGATACAATACATAGCAGTCAGTATTATATATATACACATACTATATACATATTATATGTAATGTATAACATATTGATTAATAAATATGATCGATATATGTGTTAGAATCTATCTATTGTGCACCAGTATGTATTACTATATATACATGTCTATGATATGTTATATATTATGTCATAAATATATACTAGATATTTATATACCATATGTTTGTTTATAAGGACCCGTAACACATGCGGATTCAGCAGATAGTGTGGGAAGGGAAAAGGTAATAATTAGCCATCATGGCTGGATATGGTCGAGTAGTAACCCACACATAGTAAAATTATAGATATCAGTTGCTACTGGATATACCACATTTTTCTCGGTAAATTGAGTAACGACCGAAGCCTGTTCTCCCGAAGCCTGGAATGATGATCATTGGGGAATCATCGCAAAACAATGCAAATTCCTTTACTTCGTGTGATCCCCACCATGACATTTATATATTTTGTTACTGGCAAATCTTCTGGCATTCTATCTGACATATCTTCAATCAATGCAAAATAGCCAAAGGTTTCAGATTAGTGAATTATTTAAAAAAAGAGCCAAAGGTTTCAGATTAGTGAATTATTTAAACACATAGCCAAAGGTTTCAGATTAGTGAATTATTTTTAAAAAATAGCCAAAGGTTTCAGATTAGTGAATTATTTTGAAAAATAGCCAATAGGTTTCAGATTCGTGAATTATTTTAAAAAAATAGCCAAAGCTTTCCGACTCGTGAATTATTAAAAAAACATAGCCAAAGGTTTCAGATTCGTGAATTATTTAAACAAATAGCCAAAGGTTTCAGATTAGTGAATTATTTTAAAAAATAGCCAAAGGTTTCAGATTAGTGAATTATTTGAACAAATAGCCAAAGGTTTCAGATTAGTGAATTATTTAAAAAATAGCCAAAGGCTTCAGGTTAGTGACTTATTTAAAACAAATAGCCAAAGGTTTCAGATTAGTGAACTATTTTGAAAAATAGCCAAAGGTTTCAGATTAGTGACTTATTTAAAAAATAGCCAAAGGTTTCAGATAATTGAACTATTTAAACAAATAGCCAAAGGTTTCAGATTAGTGAATTATTTTTAAAAAATAGCCAAAGGTTTCAGGTCAGTGAATCATTTAGAAGATATAGCCAAAGGTTTCAGATTAGTGAATTAGTTCAAAAAATAGCCAAAGATTTCAGATTAGTGAACTATTTTGAAAAAATAGCCAAAGGTTTCAGGTCAGCGAATTATTTAAAAAATAGCCAAAGGTTTCAGGTTAGTGACTTATTTAAGAAATATAGCCAAAGGTTTCAGATAAGTGAATTATTTAGGAAAATAGCCAAAAATTTTAAGATTAGTGAATTAGTTAAAAATAGCCAAAGGTTTCAGGTCAGCGAATTATTTAAAACATATAGCCAAAGGTTTCAGATAAGTGAATTGTTAAAAAAAATAGCCAAAGGTTTCAGATTAGTGAATTAGTTAAAAAATAGCCAAAGGTTTCAGGGCAGCGAATTATTTAAAACATATAGCCAAAGGTTTCAGATAAGTGATTTTTTTTTTACAAATAGCCAAAGGTTTCAGATTAGTGAATTATTTGAAAACAAAAGACAGACATGTGCAGCAAAGGAAACGAGGGAAACGGATGGGAAACGGTTGGGACAGTGTGACGGGAATCTCCCCATGATCAGCACATAAATGGCATGCGAGGGGATCCAAAATGGATGTTTTCATGGGAAACACATATAAAAAATCGGGAGATTTTCCTGCCATGTTTTTTTTGTACCAGAGTGTAGTCCTTTTTCCAGACTTGCTGGTGATATTCAACTATCATTTCATCTTGTCTTGGTCATGTCCCAACATTACATTCCATGTTTTTGTTGGTACGCTGAACTTGTTGGACATATGGACATGGCTCAATGGCTCATTTGAAGTATTGAACCATTCTGGTTGGTGCTTTGTAACATGAATTGAACATGTTTCCATTCAGTTGGGAATGTCATAATCCCAACTGACTCCATCATTTTTCAGAGGTGTAGGGCTCAACCACCAACCAGATGATTTTTTTTTCTTAAATCCCACTTGTTGATCTAGTCCAATCCGTTTAATTGTTTTTTTGAAGTATTGAACCATTCGTTGACCTAGAACAATGTTTTTTCATTTATCCATGTTTTTTGAAGTATTCACCATTTTGTTGAAGTACCCTCTGGTAATTTAACATAGCTATGAAAAATCACCATTTTCAATGGGAAAATCCACTATTTCTATGGCCATTTTCAATAGCTACGTAACAAATTACCAGAGGGCAGCCCCTGGCTGGCGATTTCATCGGGATCAAGCCACTGTGTTTCACAGAAACGCCATCAGAAGTGTAGCCTCTGGTAAACGTTTACATTGCGAACTGGAGAATCACCAAAGTTGAATAGGTAAATCCATGGTAAATACACGATGAATATCTATAAATACACAATTCATATGGGTAAGATGTTCATCCATATCCATTTTCTGTATCGACATCTTAGTTTACGTATCGAGCGTTTCTGGATGCCGAAAAGATATGACCTGAACACCCCTGGGCTTGCTGGGATCTCCATAACCAGTCATAATGAAGCAACTGGGATAGACAGAGACATAGTAGTCATATGTAGTCATGGTAACCTGGTATATCTATATCTAAATCTATCTATATCTATATCTAATATATATATATATCTATCTGTGTATATATATATATATGTATATCATACATCATACCAAGTCAGGATTGGATTCGATTGGATGATTGGATGGGTTTTCTAAAAATTGTCAGATAAAGCTGAAGATGGAGACATTCTCAATGATTGCTGCCTTGCCAGGCGCAATTCATTGCTGGCTCTCCATCCACCATGCGATACGATGCGGAGACGGGGGCTTTCCGCCTTCAATACGTGGAGAACTTGGCTGGAAAGGTGGCGGGAAATCATCTACCCGGTATGGCTGGAAATCCCCAGTTCTAAACATACGCTGGGTGGATGAAATCCTGCACCACCTTGGATGGTTGAAACCTTATAAATAGTGGGATAAACCACCTATCAACTGGTGCAGGATTTCTTCCATCCACAGTATTTCTGGTAGGTAAATGATGGTAGCTTGCCAGAGACGAAAAATCCGGGTCGTTTTGCAGATGTGAAGCATTTCGTGGCTGCATGTGCACCACACTGGATGCGGTAGCATCCAAAGTAGAGCCATTTGAGATTGGTTTCCTGCAAATGTGGCATATACTTTTTGAGTTCGCTGGGTACTGTACATGTTTGAATATGTTTTGCATACGAAAACGTGAAGCTGTGATCTATGGATCTTCTGAATGAATGACCTCTATTTCACATCCTATTTAAGTACTTTATCTTTCTGGCGACGCAGATTCGAACTTTAACATATCTTCAACTTGTCGACAAGTCGCGACCATAAAAATCACCAGCACTGAGGTCACCACTGAGATCACCAAGGGCGCCACCAAAATCTTTTTGAACGAGACGCTTGGATCGCTTGGATTGTTGGATCACAGCTGATGTTTTTTTGCTCAAAAAGTCATCGGTTAAAACCATCCCCGATCTTATTCAAAACATCATAAGGATACCTTAATTGGAAATCTGATATAATCTGATTGGGTGGCTTAGTGGGAAAAGTTTTTTGGGATGCTTTGGGAAATTTGGGATTCATCCCAGCAATCAGTCCATTTTGACTGCCAGTTGACCGGCAAATGGTGGGTTCGCGGGATGGTTTTTGACATGGGGAGAATCCCAAAGGCTGGGGGTGACCAAAAACTTGGCGCTTTCCCATATGCAAAGCATGGTAACCATGGTGCTGGAATATAAAAACCTACAAAACTGGGCCATAAAAATGGGGTAAATATATGGTAAATATATATATATATATATATTCCAGCACCATGGTGAGCTAATCTGGCTTTGACAATCTGATTGGTTTGACAGTGCATCAGTTGGGCCAGTTGAGATATATTATGGCCCAACGGATCATCATTCCAATAGTTATTATAATAACTATAATACAAATATGATATAATAACTATAATACAAATAATGATGATCCGATAATGATGATCCGATTCTCCATCGCGGATTTTTCGGAGTCATGGAACGGTCCAAGGAAGATGAATTATCCCCGGGGCGTCCAGTTCAATGTGCTCAATGGCACCGGCATCCGGCATCAAAATGAAGTGCAGGCCTGGAGTGAAACAGAGAGGATACCCTCTGGTAATCAAACAAGCTGGATGGGAGGTCACATAATAAATATAATATATATATATACATAAATACATAAATAATTATATATATATATACATTATATATATATATACCATATTAACTTTTTTTGTAGTGGGACATCGTTGAAATCTACTGAGGTTCACGGGGGAAATCCGTTTAATCAGCCGGGTCTTTGACGGCTGATTCGGGTTTTCGCATCGCAGGTTCTGGCAGATCCAGGTCCGGGCCGGGTCGTGG